TTTAATATTTGAAAGACGATAGATGCATCAACATCATAAAATGGATAAATGAATCATAGGCTACATTATAAAATTCACGTGTTATAAGCATCTTTAACATTAGAATCGCATTAAATGTGTTCTGTTTCAACTCGCAAACAAAATAATTATGAATGGTCATCTTTCTGGTGTTGTTGATGTGTTTTCTCTATCCTCGAAGACTTGTGTCGTTTGGATATTTTGGGGTACGGAAAATTGGGGTGAATTAAATCTTATTGTGAAGAGTGGATCTTATCGTGAATAGTGCCCACTGGAGTTTTAGCTGTTGGTTAATGTACTTAACCAATGTGCTCTAATTAAAAGGTCATCTAGTTTAAATCAAAACCATTCTCAACAAAATCAATCACATTCCATCCACAAGCGTTTGAAGACACCAATTCAAACTACATGTATCATTAGATCTTAAAAAAACTTAAAAGAGAGAGAAAAAAAAGAAAAAAGCGAAGGACTTTGGGAAGAAAAATCCTCAATCTCATAAAAGGAAAACGCAAAAAATTTGGGCAGGGCAAAAGAAACCCATGATAGATGATCGAGATCCTGGCAAATCCTTTCAGTCGAATGCATCGTCATCATCATCAGGAAGAGGCTGGTTAATGGCTTCTAAAAGTTCATTCTCATGCCTACAAAATTTAGCATATGAGAACCAGAATGTGTCCAATATTTGAATTAAAACCCAAGCAGTTGTTTGATAATTCATTATTAATATTATTATCTTTCAAAATTTATTCTTGAGAGAGACTATAAAAAGCTTACTGTTGTTGAAGAGCCAAGTCAATTTGCACTTCAGGTGGGGCGAGAGCAGGAGACTCGACAAAGTGCAGGTTAGGATCCCTAGAATCAGAACATAAAATCAGATAATCAAGTTTAGATTTTATATCCAAAATGATTAAAAAAAAGGCAAATCTTGATTTATTTCTTTCTCTTAATAAAAAAAGTTGCATCCAAAAGAGATACCCGGCAAGTTTCCTGGCAAGGTACAAGAAAGGCTTCTCGAAGTTGTAGTTACTCTTTGCCGATATCTCATAGTACTGCAAGTTCTTCTTGCGGTGGAAGGTAACCTGTTTAGCCTTAACCTGCCTGTTCTTCACATCGACCTTGTTCCCACATAGCACAATTGGGATATTCTCACAAACACTGAAAATGGGTCCAAGAATATCAATGTCAAATGGTATTCAACTGCCACATTGCATGAAAAAATAAAAAATAAAAAAAAAAATAAATGGGATGAGTACCGGCAAAGGTCACGGTGCCATGTTGGGACATTCTTGTACGTCAATCGAGCTGTTACATCAAACATAATAATGGCGCACTGTCCATGGATGCTGAAAATTATTCAACAAATTACCATATGTTAGTAAAACAGTAAAAGCACAAACGAAAACTAAAGGTAAATCCATTTTGGCAACATAAGAATAAATCGACACATACTAGTATCCATCTCTAAGGCCGCCAAATTTCTCCTGACCAGCAGTGTCCCAGCAATAAAATCTGATTTTTCCACAGTTAGTGAAGAAATCCAATGGATGAACCTCAACACCAATAGTCGCTGTTCAATGATTATAACGGAAAGGGTCAAACAAACCGTAAAAGCGAGTTCAAGAATTTCGAAACAATTTGAGCTAGAGCTGAATAATGGACGTTGAAACTGAATCTTACGTTCATATTTCTTCTCGAATTCACCCGTGAGATGCCTTTTCACAAATGTGGTTTTCCCTGTAGCATCATAATACAATCTCAAAAGCCGCAAACAGAGATTTAACATCAAGGACATGAACATATAATTCATAAGCAATCACAAGCAGAGCTCCCCTCCAAAATCCAAAATTTGAGTATCAAACATATATTTTCACATAACACCCCAAAACATTTGCAGCTCCAAATCCCAAATAACCATAAAAAACCCAAATCCCAAATCCCAGCAGACATCAAATAACCATAAAAAACCTTCGAAATTTCAAGGAACTATTTACTATAGAACACAAATAGTATCACAGACCACAACTCCACAATTCTCCCCAAAATGTGAAAGGCGTTCACCTTCAATTCACAATCCATCATCTTCAGACCACCCAAACTGGAAAACACAATCAAACATACCAAAACAAGGGCGCATCTAAATCAACATTCTGTAACCAGACCAGACAAATAACGACTTGTGAATCTGAATTCAATGGCAGATAAAGCTCGAGAGAAAAATCACCTGTGCCACCATCGCCGACGATCACAAGCTTGAAGCTCGGGTACTCCACCGTCTGCTGATTCGGCAACGCCTACAAAAACACATCAAAGCCACACGAATAAACAAATTAACAAAACAAAAAAATCAAATCTCAAGACAAACCTAACAAAAACCATTTAAATCACCCAGAAAACAATGATTGGACGCTACAACAAATCAACAAAAAAAAAAAAAAAACGGCTTACCATGAGATTGCAGCTGCTAATTGAAAAATCGACAACGAAATTAGAGAAAGGCAGATTCAATAGCAAAATATGCCAATTGCCGAATGTACTGAGTGAGCAGATATATATATGAGACGATAGGTTTTGACGAGGGTTTTTGAATTTCTAGCTTTAAACCGACGCGATGATCTCGACCGTCGGATCCGATTTCTACCTTCACGTGTTCGAGTCACCGTATTCAAGCGTACTACCTACCCACGTATTTAATTATAATTATTCTTTATATTTAAATTAAAAATATATATAATGAAGTTAATCTATATCTATATAATTGTTGGCTCATGAGCATTTGATAAAACCTATTAAATTATACCTATGTGGAAATATAATTTTTCTCTTAAAAAACCGTTACTTTTTATTTATTTAACCTTCTCATTTAATTATTAAATAATCAACACACTAATCACTTCAAAATTATAAAAATCATTTTAACTTTTGATTTACTTACAGGCTACAGCTGACCATATAATGTGTTGACTATTTAACGTGATTAGATGTTATTGTTGTGATAACATTTAAATTAACTTCTTTTGAAAAATAAAAAACGTATTTGAAATTCCTAAATAAATAATAAATAATTCACAACAAAAAATACATACCAAACTATACATTACATCTAATATGATAAACGCAATTTAAAAAAATAAATATTCCAGCTCATTTAATTGTAAATTTAGCCTGCAAAAAAATGCAAGAAAAATCATTAATCATTGTGCACACAAATAAAAATCATTAATCATTATATGCATATAAATAACTCACAATACTTTATTTATATCTGTGCAAATGCACAGGTCGAATACTACTTATAAATGGTAATACTTACACGTACAAAAATATTTATAAAATATAGAAAATGTTCATGCAGGTTCGGTTCCATTGAAACACTAGTCACAAGTACTCCCTCCATTTTGAAATATAAGGCGTATAAAGATTTCTCAATTTTTTTGAAATATAAGGCGCGCTCAAAAATCAAGACATATTTTTGCATTTTTTTCTAAATATACCCTCATTGTGTTGAAATTAAGGAAGTGTGGAGTGGTTGTGATTAGAGTAAATAAGGTTAATTTAGTCAATTTATTCATTAATTAATGTCTCATTAATAATTGTACAATAACCTTAAATGCCTTATCTTTCAAAATGGAGGGAGTATGAGAGAATCAAACATTTGAAACACTGAATATAATCTTGCATGCGAGGGGAATAAAAAATATAATAAAATTAATTTATATACAAGTTATTAACTTTAAAATATATTTAAAATTTTAAATTAATTAAGTGCTTCATAGTTTTAGAAGACCATATATGGACTAAAATGGATACAAGACATATAGTTAACAAACATACTTCGAAAAATTTGGATTCATCTATTGGAGACTAGTCATTTAATGATCTTTATATTATTTGTAAAACAAATAACACAAAAAATCGACCGTTCGTATGTGATTATCTCGAACTCTACTTGAGTTCATCTAAAAAAATTCTATTGAAAAATGTCAAATTAAGGGTAATTATATGATTTTACGATACAAATTACGGGCTCGAGTCGAATGTTAACTCCAACATTTCTGAGTCGCTCGACACATGTGTAGCCCGGTATAAGATTATGAAGCTTAATCTTGAAAATTATAGGGAGGTATATTCTTAAAAAAAGAAAAGAATTATTTAATTGATATACCATTTTGCATGAACGAAACAAAACAAAAAGCACGAACTATGTGACCACTCCAAATATAGGAACGAAGCTTGACCGCTATAACAGAAAGGCCTACAAAAAAACTGGTGAGGGTGAAAAAAATCAGGCATTCGCTCAGAATAAAAATGCTCTCCGTGCAAAACTTCCAGAAAATTAACCATTAATTTTGTTCAGATTAGCCTGCGAAGAACACTGGTTGCAGGGAAAGAANATGGGAAAGGGTAATCAGGAGGTTACGAGGACGAATGGCACAATGTCCGGTATCTGTGAGGTAGAGAGAGAAATCGAGATAATGTCCAGGGATGAGAGAAGCTCTCACCACAGCATGTCGAGCACCGGGTTGTTGCCGGCCCTCGGCGTCCACACCAACCGCCGGCACAAGCTCCGCCGGTTCATTATTTCTTATCGTGACCCTCGATACATGTAATCCCTTTTCGTTATTTTGATGTCTGGTGTTGTTTGTCTTCACCTGATGTGTTAACATGTTCGGAATTATGTGTTTTGTGAAGCAATTGCTTGAATGAATTTAGGTTGTGGGAGAAGATTGAATGTGTTCTGCAGCTAGAATTTCTGGATCTTTTGTGTTGCGGGCATTTGTGTTTTGTGTTTTGGGTATTTAATGGCGGCTGAGTATTTCATTCATAGATGCTTTGAAGGTGATAAGTCGATTTGATTGCATTATTGAGGGATTTTCGCAGTGGGAGAACGAGCAAGAGCTCCTTTCTTTTTTCTTTTTGGTTTGCTTGTAGTTTTCCTTGTTCACTTGGTCAAAGTAACGAAGCTGAGTGAATTGTTTGATTTGGTATTCCAAATGCAATGCATAAAGATTCAATCTTTAGAATTTCCGTTCCTCTTGAAAAAGGAAATAAGAGAAAAACATATTTATTTGTGCTATTTGCAGGGCATGGGACACATTCTTGACTATACTCGTGTTCTACACGGCATGGGTTTCGCCGTTCGAGTTCGGTTTCAACATGCGACACAGTAAAGCCCTCGCCATAACCGACAATGTCCTCAATGCTTTTTTCGCAATAGACATCGTGCTCACATTCTTTGTAGCCTACCTCGATAAAGAAACTTACCTCATCATTGATGACCACAAGATGATTGCCTCGAGATATGCGAAAACATGGTTGATCTTTGATGTGATAGCTACAATACCTTCGGAGCTCGCCCGCAAAGTCCTGCCTTCAAATGTCGAGTCGTATGGCTATCTTAGTTTGCTTCGTCTGTGGCGTCTTAGACGAGTTAGTGCCCTGTTTAGGAGGTAATTTTTATTCCTTGTTCAATTTGAAAGCAAAAATTGTCATTTGAAAACATTGAATGTGTGCATGTGATGTGGTGGTTGGGACACTTCAAATGATCCTAATAAAGAAAGTTCGGATGCAATATTTCGAAGGATGTTCATGAGAAAAAGCTTGATGTTGTTTCTCATGTGTCTTGTTACACTTGTGCAGATTGGAGAAGAATACAAACTACAACTACTTTTTGGTCCGGGTTTTAAAACTCACATTTGTAGGTATCGTTAAGTGGTTAATTTTCTACACACTATAAAAAAACAGAAGAAAAAGAAGAAAAATACAAATGTGATCTAATGGGGAGCTTTCTTTACCTTTTATCTGCTATAGGTTGTGCTTTTCGACGTTCACTGTGCTGGTTGCTTCTTCTACCTTCTTGCTGACAGATATCCCGACCCCGAAAATACGTGGATTGGCTCAATACATCCCGATTTTCACAAGATGTCCCTTTGGGACAGATACGTTATATCCATCTACTGGTCCATTGTCACAGTCACAACCACCGGATATGGTGATATACACCCAGTGAACACAGGTGAAATGGTTTTCGACGTCTTTTTCATGTTTTTCAACCTCGGGCTCAACTCCTATATAATCGGGAACATGACCAACATGATTGTCCAAGCAACATCCAAAACTAGGAAATTCGTAAGTATATGTAGTTACATATGTAGAAATTTAATTGTATCCGTCTGTTTTTTAGTTGTTATTTATTTTTGGGCACTTTTTTTGTTGGGATACAGAGAGAGAGCATTAGTTTAGCCTCGAACTTTGCGAAAAGGAACAAACTGCCACCGAGGCTTGAGGACCAGATGATAGCTCACTTGAGCCTTAGGTACAGAGCAGATTCCGAAGGCTTGCATCAACAGGAAACTCTCGACGTGCTTCCGAAAGCCATTCGGTCGAGTGTTATGCATTTTCTGTTCTATTCCCTTGTTGAGAGGGTGTATTTGTTCAAAGGGGTGTCCAATGACCTCCTCTTTCAGATAGTAAGTACCGTTAAAAATAGAATACGGATTCTCTCTCTCTCTCTCTCTGTGTCTATTTTTAAAGCTGATGTGTCTGTTTCTTGATATTCTGTTTAATGTTTGCAGGTATCTGAGATGAAGGCCGAGTATTTTCCACCGAGGGAAGATATAATTTTACAGAATGAGGCACCAACTGATATGTATATCTTGGTTAATGGGGCAGTGGTATATATAGTCTCTCTCCCTATCTCTTTGCTTGTACTGGTTAAACGAATAAGTTAAGAAGTGGTTTTTTCATCTTTTCTGATCATTATTTCCTCGATAAACAGGAACTTATATCACATAAAAGCGGGATGGAACAGGTAAAAGGAAAAAAAAAAAAAAAGATGTTAGTCAATTGCTCATTTTGCTGAATTTGTTCATCCTCTATAAGGATATATTTTTTAACTTAGGTCGTTCGGGACTGCAAAACGGGGGACGCATGTGGCGAAGTAGGCGTGTTGTGCTACAGACCACAGCTTTTTACCGTTCGCACAAAACGGTTGAGTCAGCTTCTACGCCTGAACCGTACTTCCTTGCTGAATATTCTCCAAGCCAATGTTGGAGATGGTACCATAATCATGAACAATCTTCTTCAGGTAGGAAATAAAATAAAAAATAGAAAAAGGAAGTGAAGAACTTTTTTCTCCTTTTTTTTTCGGCAGTATATAATAAATTCGGTTTCTTGCAGTATTTGAAAGAGAAGAAAGATCCCGTGATGCAAGCAATATTAACAGACACCGAGCACATGCTGGCCAATGGGAGAATGGATGTTCCACTTAGTCTCTGCTTTGCGGCTGCACGTGAAGATGATCTTTTGCTGCACCATTTGCTGAGGCGCGGTTTAGACCCAGATGAGCTCGACAGTAACGGCCGCACTGCATTGGTAAAAACGTGCCATTACCCTCGACTCGAGACCCTTTTCTATACACATTTCTTTTTCATTTATATATATTTTGAGTTTTTGTGTGTTTGCGTTTGTGTTATATAAATCAGCACATTGCTGCATCAAAGGGGAGTTTAGAATGCATTCTTCTACTTTTGGACTATGGTGCAGACCCTAATAGAAAAGGTATCTATCTACTAATCCATTGCCTTGTGGTCCATTTAGTGCTGTAATCGTTCGCGAACAAAAGCTCGTTCGTTTGATCATCGAGCCGATTTCGAACAGAAAATTAGGCTAGTTTAATAATAGAACGAACACGAGCCCATTTGCGAACATTATCTTTTAATATATTTACATGATACTTTTAATAAAAAATCTAAAATATAAAAATATTTTTATTTTATTTTTGGGTTCGAACGAGTTCGAACGAACAAATATCGAGTTAATCAAATATATTTAAAAAGTTTATATCATAAATTACTCGAACACCAACGAACTCGAACTTTGACGGACAATTAAACGAACGACCTCGAACACGATTATTTGCTCGAAAAATAAACGAACGAACATGAACACTGTTCGAACGAACGAACATGAGCTGGGAACGCCCAAGCTCAGCTCGTTCAGTTCGATTACAGCGGCTATGAAAAATGACTCGTAAAAGCTGACTATTTCATCTT